CCTTAACCCCCCTTTGGTTCACGGCGGACGCGCCTCGTAAATATGGCCGTGGGGAGCCTCGAGTGTGTCCGTTCTGACACCGAGTGGTACTACTTGCACGGCGCACCCGCCATTAGTCAATACGCCGACGTTACGTCGATACACGCGGGCCTCTTGGTCCGCTCAGCCTAGGCTGGAATAGGGTCGAAAACCCCTTCCATCGGGACAGGCTTCCTGGAAACAGACCGATACTTGCTGGCAAACTTTTGAATTCTTGCCAGCCTCCTCCATTGTTCTCATGGGCTAATCGATACCATTTTATTGCCGGCGTGTGCAAATCTACGACGTCGCGCGACACCGACTACTTCCCTTTCCGTTACGTTTTCCTTTCGAATTACAAACCTGTCGCAATTTTCTCCTTGTCCCTTTTGCTTCTTATTTCTCGACATTTTCTTCGGGCGAGAGAAAGAGGCGACTGAAGTTCGAAAATTCAAGGACTCTCTTTTAGGTTGATCTCGGAGTATTTGTGTCGAAGAGAGAGAGAGAGAGAGGATAACGAGTTTGGAAGAAATGTAATTTTAGCTAGGTAAAATATCGTTCTTGGAATGTTTTTTTTTTTTTTTGAGGTTCTGCCAGTATCGCAGATAAATTCGCGGTGCTCGAGATGCTGTGGCTTGAAGGTAGCTGCAATGTTGGCGACTGATTCCGTTAACGTCACCAGGATATGGCTTATATCCAGAAAGTTTGAACGGGGGAAATTTGGGCCATGATAATAGATGGTTAATGTGAGAAACTAAACGGTTCTATTAATACCGGGAAAGTGGTATATCTGCACTTGTGACACTCCAACACCAAAATATGCTTCTCTCACACAATTCTTTAAATGAACAAATATTTTTGTATTAATTGTTAATAGCGTGTTCCAGACATTTTCTGTAATTCAAGCAAAATATATTTGATAAATTGTATCGACAATTTTCTACCCCTTCCAAAAGTTTCGTGCAGCTGTTTATCAGTGCTGTGGCTACAGCAGGCCTGCTGCATTTATCATCCCCTACGTGTCTGCTTCATAAATAGATCTCACCGGCAGACGGTACTAATTTCTTCAGCTCCCAAAAAACACTCGCTGCAAAATCTTCCTAAAATCTCTCAACATTGAAAATTCACAGAAATTTAACAACTCTATATTTGTCAACGAACAATAAAGATATTTAAAAAACCCTCGATTCAGAGCCTCTGTTGGAACAAAAACTACTCTAGGTGATTAATTTTTAACCAACTAATTTTTCAGCGGCAAATCTCCCAACACTAAAAATTCACATAAATTCGATAACTCTATTTGTCAAGGAACAATAAAAATGTCTCCGTTAACAAAAAAATTAATCCAGTTAACTCGCTAAATTTTCAAAATTTTTCAAACATTTCTCTTGCACGCGTAAAAAACAGGGTTAACAATTGAGAATTTGTTTACCTATGCCGTCATCCAGGTACAACTAACTACCTCTGTGCAAGTCAATTAGTACTTCTACCTGTTCTTCCATCGGTCGATGCCGGGAAACTTTTTGACTCGCCGCCAGGCCAATCAGCGAGAACTGGCCTATTCGTTGCCAGCGCACCTCTCGTTATCACGATAATGGCTCCTCGCTCGATAAGGCGGGTTCGTCGTAAAATCCTCCGCCGTATTTCTCCCCCGAAAAAAAAAAGGAAAAGGAAGATTTCTCGCCTCTCGGTACCGCGAAACAACAAGGACACCTCGACGCCTCTTCACATCGCCCAACAATCCCGGAGCCTTATGCATTCCGTATGCATCTCGATGTTTGCCCATTAATAATGCATCGTTAAGCTAAGTGCTGCGGGAGGTGGCGGGGGAGGGAAGGCGGAGACAAAGGGGTGGCGGAGGAGCGAGACAGGGAAGGATTGTTAGCTAAGGGACTGTAGTAACAGAGTTAATGTCGCATTACGACGTGGACTGCACAGAAGGACGTGGGCTGTTTGAAAGCGGTGGAACCGCGAAAGCGAAATTCCTCGGGATGACGGAGACCAGTGAAGAAGCCAGAGTAAGCAATAGACAATATAGACCGAGAAGGAGATAATCGTGAATAGAAGTTTTCGATTGATAGTCCCGAACGATTAGCGCGATAACGAGTAGAGGTTGCTAAGGAGATGTTCGAGCCGTGATAAGGGGAAAATGTCCGTTTTGCATGAACGAATTCAACGATTCCAACCGTTCCTTTAGATCTTCGTGATTAGATAGAGAGCACACACGATATATCGTAACTTTCGTAAATTTTCGCGTTTGTGGTCACACGCGAGAGACTCGATTTCGATTGTATCGCCGCTCGTCGGAACAGACGTTGGTTTCTCGCATGTGTAAAAGTTACCACGGCCACTTTCGTATGCAAATCTAGGGGTACAAGCTTGTTCTCGTATGCCCGTTGGAACAGATCTAAGGAAATGCCCGCGATGTAACCGCGAACGTTATCCGAATATCGAAGAGTTGCTCGATTTATGCTGGATTTTCTTCGTTTCTCGTGTCTCGAGTGTGTTCGCGTGCCCGTTGAGTAATGGCCCCTCGATAGGAATCGTATTTATTACCGGTTTGATCGATGCGTCCCTCGGATAGCCACGTTTTACTCCCGGGATTGTCGATTCGCGAGCAATTTGACGTATGGATTCGACGACACGAAACGATTTGTACGTTGTAAATCGAGAACAGAGCGCGGTACTAATGTTCGATTGATAATTAGCCACAATGTGGAGTATTTACGGCGTGTGATAAGGATGAAGTACAAGATAGAGATAGGTATTTATGTTGATTAGCTGAAGATATTATCGACGTCGTTAAATATTAACCCTTCGACTGCTGGTCACTCGGAAGTGAAATGGTCGCTGAGCGCGATCAAGTTATAGCATTTAATAGTCGTTATGTATAAAACACGTTCACGAATTAATTTGCTTTTCTGGCCAATCTTTTACATTTTATATTTGTAAAATCGAGAATGTACAAATGTAATATTTAAAAGTGTCGATAGTGCGGTCGTTTACTATTGAACAACTGCAGGCGCCGATAGCAGTCGAAGGGTTAATTGCTATGTTTTAGAGTGTGTGAACGATGATCTAGTATTATTTACAACGTTTCACACCGGAGATCTGAGTATGCATAGGGATGTTTGTAACAGTGTATAGGAGTAATTAACACGTTTTTATCTTTTCGCCGTCGTTTGTTGCGTGTAACGACCATAAGTACGCGTTCATGCACGCGACGTGAAGTTTGCATTACGTATTACACGTACAGAGTAGATTATGTTTTGTTGGAGTCTCGTGTTGCTCGTTTAATGTTGATAATAACATTTTTTACATATTTAAGCTGTAATGAAAATTCAATTTAATTTATTATCGACTGAATTGCAGAATTGTTTGTATATTTGAAGAAGAGTGTTTTGTGAAAATAAACTTAAATGTAATTTGTCTTGTACTTATGTACAAATGTACAAATGTACTTATGTGTAATTTGTCTTTTGTTACTTGTTCGATGTTTAGTATAAAATTAACGTTTCATATTTTCTTCTCTGCGTATTCAAATTATGATAAAAATTTGATTCAATTTTGAATTGGCTGGAATGCAGAATTGTTTATATATTTGAAAACCAGTGTTCTACGGAAGTAAACTTAAATGTAGATACTTATGTGTAATTTGTTCTTCGTTCAAACGAGAATCATGCACAATTAATCGTCACTCTCACAAATATATGAATCACTTTAAAATAAAATATCTTCACAAATCTAAAATTCATGTCAATCACTGTAAAATAAAATATCTTCACAAATTTAAAGTTAAAATGAATCACTGTAAAGTAAAATGTCCTCACAAATATAAAATTCAAATGAAAATAGTAAATTCGATAAAAATAATAAAAATTCAGATCGTCACTGTAACATAAAACATCTTCACAAATCTAAAATTCAGAGTAAAATAATCAATTCCATAAAAATAATAAAAATTCAAATCAATCACTGTAATATTGTAAAATATCTTCACAAATCTAAAATTCATGTCAATCACTGTAAAATAAAATATTTTCACAAATATAAAATAAAATAATAAATTCCATAAAAATAATAAAAATTCAAATCAATCACTGTAATATTGTAAAATATCTCCACAAATCTAAAATTCAAATGAATCACAGTAAAATAAAATATCTTCACAAATATAAAATTCAAATGAAAATAATAAAAATTCAAATCAATTAACACCTTCAGATAATTATCTTAAGAGAAGGGAATCTTAGGAGAATTATAACACAATTCTACCAGGACGATTAGGCGAACAACGTTCACCATTCTACCTATTCCCGACACTCTTACACTCTATTCTACTCTGCGTCGTTACAACATGACTCTGCCACAGTGAGAGAGGAATACACACGATGAGGTATTGACTGCTGTCGGTAGAAACGCGCGGAAATTCCCACACGACACGAACGATAGGTAAAAGGGCGGTACCAGACACGAACTCGTAGCACTGGCTGTTCGCCCCTTGCACTACTTAGAAACCTTCTCAGTTCGCCGTTGCAACCCTTGGTGAATCTCGTCTTCGCGTTAACCAGTTGCTTATCGGGTCATTCCATCATCGACGTTTCTTCCTTTCAACTCGTTCGATCATGTTCGTACAAGCGCCTGCCTTGTTGATCCAACAAAAGTCGGAGAATTCGGAGGAGGGTAGCGACGAGGAAGGCTCTGGCGATGTTCTTCAGGTTGATCGTTCTTTTATCTTCTAACCATTTTTTATCGAATTTTCAATGTTTCTTCGTTTTTATCGTAAGATGTATCGAAAGAAGCTCAGCCAGTGATTGTTTCATTATACGGTGGTGGAATGTTGTAATAATTGTTCGTGGAATTTTTGTTCTGTAGTTAAAATTTGAAATTGGGGAGAAATAAGACGATACATTGGTGAAGTAAAAGGTTTAATTTTGAAAGAAGAAAATTAATAAACTTCAGATCTTCTTAGGTCGTGTTCAAAAATTTTTCAGATTCACAATTTTTGTAAATCACTCTCTACTTTGTACAAAATAACAGTAAAAAGACCAGAGTAAACAAAATAATTAAATTGAAAGAATAAGGAGAAATAAGAAGTGATCATTAGCAAACCAAAATTTCGCTCAATTTCAAAAGAAGAAAATTAGAAAAATTCAAATTTTCATAGATCATTTTCAAACATTTTTCAAATTCGCAGTTTTCATGAGACACTCTCTACTTTATACAAAATAATACAATTAAACAAATAAGGAGAAAGAAGAAGTGATCATTAGCAAACCAAAATTTCGCTGAATTTCAAAAGAAGAAGATTAGAAAAATTCAACTCTTCATAGATCATTTTCAAACATTTTTCAAATTCGCAGTTTTCATGAGACACTCTCAATTTTATACAAAATAATACAATTAAACAAATAAGGAGAAATAAGAAGTGATCATTAGCAAACCAAAATTTCGCTGCATTTCAAAAGAAGAAAATTAGAAAAATTCAAATCTTCATAGATCATTTTCAAACATTTTTCCAATTCGCAGTTTTCATGATACACTCTCTATTTTATACAAAATGATAAAATTAAACAAATAAGGAGAAAGAAGAAGTGATCATTAGCAAACCAAAATTTCGCTCAATTTCAAAAGAAGAAAATTAGAAAAATTCAAATCTTCATAGATCATTTTCAAACATTTTTCAAATTCGCAGTTTTCATGAGACACTCTCTATTTTATACAAAATGACAATAAAAAGACTAACATGTTAAATAAAATAATAAAATTAAAAGAATAAGAATGTAAATAATGACTGCACCACACTTTCAACCAATAGACACCCTTGTAAGAAGAACGCAACGTCTGATCAGTGGCAGGACATTACCACTGCCTCTCCTAAACCCTGACAGAGGGAAAATTAATATTCTCGATTCCCTTGGTAGAAACGTCGGGAGGAATGCGAGAGAAAGGCGAGGCGAGGGGAGATGGATCCTCGCCTAGAATTCGCCTTCCAGCTGTTGATGGATGCGACGCAGTTGTCCCGCCACGAAATCATGGATCACGTTTTCGAGGGGGACATGCTCGACGAAATTAATCAACTGTTTTTGCCGCACATGAGATCCACCCTTGTCTGGTATTATCAAGAAGTGGAGGAACCTGCGACTCTGCGTTCTGCGGAAACTGTAACTAAATCACGTTGATCGCTATTCTCAAGCAAGAATGAAAATTTAATTCAGTTTTGCCAAATGTGATCGCAGAATTTTTTTTTTTATTATTTAATTTAAGGTCGCATCGATATCTTGGTTATCAGCGTCCATAGTTGGCGGTTATTCTATATTTCATATTAAATGTTTACTCTATGAATAAGCTGGACTGCTTTCTTGAGATTTTCCTCTATTTCAAATATTTCTTTAACCCCTTAACGCTCTTAACACTAATACCGTTTCATCTCTTATCTATTCCATTTTTATATACTTTAAGATCCAATCTCAAGTTACATTACTAATTTTCTTCTGTAGCATTCTACACTTCCTCTGAGTTAAACTTACAATTATCAGAGGGATCACGTTACTGTACAAGAATTAATAACGAACTCAATCTATTAGACCACGAATTTTGAATATCCTACCTTCCATTTTTATGCACTTCAACCCCTTAACACTTTTCTCAACTTGATGCGCCATGTAAGATCAATTTCGTTTTCTAGGCTATAGAAATAAATTTTCTGCCACAATAGAATGGACAACGCAGTATGGAAAGTGAAAGAAACTAATTTTAAAAAGTTCCACTTACTGGACGATCAGTCGTGCACGTGCGAGACGCGAGCATGAACGTTAAGGGGTTAATACTGTTAGGTATTTAGAGCTACTTTTTTCTGTGCTCTTGCAGTCTAATAGAATATGCTTGGTGGTTAAATCTTGTAGAGAGGGTTTACAGTATGATAGGATTGTTTTACTTAGAACGTAATTATGCGTAGCCTTAGTCTACTAATTATAATTTCTTCTTTTCTAACGAATTGAACGGTGTCCTGGTTAATAAAATCATCAAGTGAATTTTGTCACTTAGATACAAACGAAAAGCACGACTTCCAGACCAGGTCCAAACTCATCCACGCCAAAAACTAAAGAGCAGAAAGAAACAAAGGAACCAGGAAAGAAGAAACTATTTCTGACCGATGGATGGCAAGTGTCTTGCACTGGAATATGTATTTACATGTTCAGGTAATCTCAGTGACAATTTTATCAAATGTAGTCCTACAATAAAAATTGTATTGTAGCGAAGAAGGGTTGAAACATTTTTTAGATTGAACGTCTCGAAACAATTACCCGAGGAGGGTTTCCAGAAGGATCTTTACACCGGTGTAATAGACACGAAGAAAGTGGGGATAATAACAGCGATACAGAGAGTAGTTGAGTATGTTTTCATGGACGCGTTGGCACATCCTGGTAGCGAAGGAGAGGACGATTGTCCTATGATCAAAAGCCTTTTGTTACCTGGTTTGAGGTCCTTTTGCAGCGCTCTGAAAGGTAACAATTTCACACTGAATTGTACGAGAGAAGAAAAATCATGAATTAGGTTATATTTTAGTACCTATTCTTCAATTTCTAATATTTGTAAGGTGTTTTTAGTTTAAACAATACTTTGCCCGGATAATTTCAAAAACTATATTTATTTCGTCGTCGTCGTTGACTACGCGGTTCAATTTGTTCTCCTGCAATCCTTACAATTCTCACGATTCTCACAATTCCTTCAGCAGTGCTCCTAACGCGTCCTTATATGCGGGCTTTGACGCCCCTCTCTTGCCTTCGGGAAACCCTGGCGCAAGTTGGGGGTTTCTACCCGGCAAGGACCGTGTCGCGCGAACACGTGGCTGGGTCCTTCCTGACCCAGCCCTTACCGCGTGGGGGAGTCAAACTTTGGGACCGGGTTCCTCCGTAGACCGAGAGGTCTGCGGGTCATAAACCGGCCCGAGTCCCTACCTTCACTCAACCATACTGTTACGTATTTTCTGAGTTTTTAATTTTTCAACCCTTTCGCTGCGGCAGACTTTAGTACGCAACGCGCATGGCGGACAAAATTCTTGAAAAATTTTTAATTAAATTGGGAATTTATCATTTTTAAATTTCCATTATTAAATCAAATTTTTAATTTAATTTCTTTTGCTAAATAAAATCTTTAATTTATCATTTTTAAATTTCCTTTGTTAAATTAAGGCGCAAAGGACAGAAATTAAGGTGAAAGTGTGCCAAAAGGCGCCAAGAGCGAAAATTTTCAAGGACACCATTTTTCTATTTTTCTACGCCTACAGGCTTTCAACTCTCAAGTGAAATGGTTAATTTCGAATTTTCACCTTTCTTTCTTCTCCTCTGACTTTTACTATTTCTAACGAAAAATGTCGCAGTATGTGAACAGGTGGCTCACGAAGGACGCATATTCGAGGACGGCGAGACGTTGATGACGGAAGTGCGCAACTTCGAGGAGGCAAAGGCGTTCGTGGCGAAGGAGAACGCGGTGAACATCGTGGAAGAGCGAGTGAAAGTTTGGATTAAAAAATTGAAGGACTTCATGGCAGAGAGTAAACAGGTGAAACGGGAGAACGACAATTCTGGACCGCAACAGGAATTGGAATACTGGAAACGAAGAGGCGCGCAGTTCAGTCAATTGGTCGATAAACTTCAGGTACCACTTTCTGAATTGCTCTAAAAATCTCTAAAATTAACGATAACAAGCGGAATATTATTTACGACGCGTGTAAACATTCAGAATCACGAGATACGAATGTCGCTTCTTTGCCTGCAAGTCGCGAGATCGAAGTTGATAAAAGATTGGGTCGATGCTGAGGACGAAGTGACTTATTGCTACAACGAAGCTAAGGACAATGCGAAGTTCATTCAAGCGTTAGAAAAATGCTGCCACTGTTTGTATCTGGACGATCCAGTAAGACTATTTATCGTCACTGTTTTACCAGTAGAATTTATCATCGCTATTTTAACATTAAGTCGCCCATGAATTTGGACGAGGTACATTAATGCAAAAAATAGGAAACTTTGTGGCGCATTCGGGTTGCTGCATTCTTAGTCACATTTAGCCATAAAAAGAAATCAAATTTTCTAAATAATTTAAAGTCAGCTAACTTTCTTCTTTCTCCTGAAAAATTTGATTTCTGACACTTACAGTGTTCTCCACAAATACCCTTCAATTAAAAAATATATATATATGTAGGGGATTTATGTGAGGAGGGATAGTAAACTCGAACGGACTTTGTTCTATACTACATTTATTAATACTTTATACGTGCTACGCTAAGGATGTCGCTCAATCAATCGCTGGATTCATACTGCATTTCGCTCCCTCGCATTCGCCCTAATGTCATCTTGCATACATGCACACTTTTCCGTAGAAGAAAACATACACGCACACACGCACTCACGCACTCCTCGCCTGATTACTAAAACTAAACATTCGTTCAATATCTTTCGCGCTATCCCAAACACTCGACCTGGCACGCCGGTCCTTACCGCTCCGGTCATAGACCCTCACGCATTCACATAGACAACGCATTCATACAAACAACGCACTCACGCTCGGTCATCCCTACATATATTATATCATTAATTAAAAAATTATATCAATAACTGAAAAATATATACATATATATCAGCTAATTCCTTTTTAATCGACGAAACATTTTAGGTGAAAATGAGAGACTCTCTCGTGTCGTTGTTACAAACGGTTCGCCTAATATACAGCGTTTCGAGGTATTACAACACCTCAGAGCGAACCAGCTCGTTAATGATAAAGATCACGAATCAAATGATCGTGGCTTGTCGAGACTACGTAACGAACAGAGGCCGAGAGACTGTTTGGGGTCAAGATCGAGCAGCTGCACGATCTAAGCTGAAGCATTGTCTGAGATTGAACAAGTAATGGTGAAATTTGATCAATGTTCCTGATAATCTAATTTTCCATGTAGAAAACAATAACGAGTATCTTTGTGTTCGAAGAGCGTACAGAGAAACGTACAGATTGGTTAGGTGTTCACCAGCTGTGACTGAACAAGAGTTCTCGTTCTCGGAGACTCACGTGTTTGGAAGGTTCGATTCTTTCTGCGCCAGGATAAGAAAAATTTTGACCGTGTTCGACTTGATACAGGATTATAAGAATCTCTTTGAACGAAGAATGGAGGGGCTTTTGTTGGGAGAAGGTGCAAAACTTTTATCGACGATCGTCTTAATTATTCATAGATGATTTCATGGATTTTTCAGTGTCCAATGCTTTCTGAATTTGTAGCTTTCAATTTTTTTTTCTTTTTCGACAACTCTAGACGAGGAATTTTGTCGTCATAGTTTCTAAATATTTAAATGGATTTTTCAATCTCCAGTGTTTCGTGAATTTTTAATTGTTTCTTTCTTTTTATTCTTCGTCAGCGTTAAATGACACGATTAGACATTTCCAGAAATTTCATCGTCATTCGTCTTAATTTATAAATAATTAAACGAATTTTTCAATTTCCAATACTTTCTATACTTTTGGTTTACAATTTTTTAAACGCGATTAGAACTTTCCGGGAATTTTATCGTCATTCGTCTTAATTTACGAATAATTAAATGGATTTTTCAATCTCCAATACTTTCTGAATCTTTAATCTCTTTTCTTTTTCCACAGCGTTAGATGACGCGATCAGAACATTCGAGGAAGCCGAAACAGTGGCAACAACCAAAGCTTACGACTACCTAGACCCTCGAAACACCGAATTCGACACCGATTACGACGACTTCATGTCAAAAACTGATGCGTTAAAACAGCACATCGGTAATATCATCGAGAAAAATTACGCGGACGTGTGGGAAACTCTTCAGGGTATACGATTTTTAACTCGATTCGAAAAAGTGAAGTAACCCATCCTAACTAAATGAACAGTGCACGTAAATTTACACAATTACCGCGTGATTGCATTTGTTCGACCGTATTACTAAATTTCTCCTCGAAGAATTAATACGACAATATCTTTCCATCGGTTGAAGGTTAGCGAAAACATACCGCTGACAAAACTCGACGAAAAATACAACATAGTGGTGAAATACTGCGACAAAGAAGTCGACAGGATTCTAAAATTGTTCAAGAGACAGAGGGATGATCCGCCATTGCCTAGGCACATGCCAGCCATCGCTGGGAGGCTAACTTGGGCTAATTCACTCAAGTGAACGATAAATATGCTAATTTACCAATTGACAAATTCAAATCTTTCTACTGAATTTTTTCTTCAGAGTACACCTCGACGAATTGGCCACCTCCGTCTCGAATCATCCAGTTCTCAAAACGCTTCCACTGACTATGGAGCTGGAAAAAAGGTACAATTACGCTCTGAGCGTTTTGAGCCAATACAAATCAGACATAGCTGAAGTGTGGACGCATCAGAATTCGTGGGTGATCGAAGATTGCCTGAAACGGTAAATCAATCAGTAATTAATATTAAAATTGTGTTCTACTTTGAAAAATCATCGTAGACCTTTGCTGGCGGTCGATGAGAAAACGGGGAAAGTCAAGGTGAATTTGGAAAGTCGCGTGACTCTTCTGCTTCGGGAGGCTGATTGTTTGGCTAAGTTGAATCTGGAAATTCCTATTGTCGCGTTGACGATTCTGACGAAGAAGGATTATTTTACTCTAATTACGGACTCGATGCAATTGATGATCGAAGAGTATGTTGCTACAGCTAGGAGGGTGAAACTTGAAGTGAGACCGTTGTTATTGCCGCATTTAGTGAGGGTTACGTCGTTGTTGGAGTCTGGTTTGGTGGCGTTGACTTGGACAAGTCCTGAGTGGAGGGAGTTTTATCAGAACACGAAGGAACAGATCAAGGAGTTCGATATATTGATCACGAGGGTTCACGATGTGTACGATAATAGGTATGAGAAAATATAATGTAACAATTCTTCTTATCCTCTTTATTAAAAGAAACATTACTTTTCTCACATTTACTGTCTTAAAAATGTTTATGAGAAAAATATAGTACGATGAAAAGAAATGTCCGAATTCCTGAATATTATAATTTTTCCTTAAAACAAAAAATGATTTTTCTGAAATTGTTAGATCGAGTTTCATGAAAAATAAGGGATTATCTTTCAAATGTTTATGACAAAGTACGGTATAATAAAAGGAAATCTCTTGAAAATTGTAAATTTTTCTGAAATTGTTAGGTCGAGTTTCATGAAAAATAAGAGATTATCTTAAAAATGTTTTTCATAGTTTCGAGTGTATTTAAGGAATTAAAGAACAGTTTGTCTGGTTCGTTCCAAGGATTCTAGAGGTGCTGACAACTATGCAGAGGATCACGTTACACATTCTACCAGAATCTGATCAACCGTGGACGATAGAAGAATTCGTGGAGAAGACCGAGGAAATATGCAGACTCGCAGCGGTAGATTTGTATCGCAAGAGTATGATGGTAGAAGAGGCTGTAGAGGAAGTGCTGGATCTCGTTAAGAACGCCGCGGAAAACTTCAAAAGCGCCGCTAATTCCAGTCAATTCGATTTTTTTAATACCGAAGGTGAGACACGACATTATCTCCTTTCACTGATTTCCTTTTAATTGACGAAAAGTAAACAAGACTGGCCTCAAAACTTTTTTCACCTTCCTTATCTTGAATTTCTTACGATTTTCGCGTTAAAATCCACATATTTTCATTTTTCTCCTTTCTAACAGAAGTTAATTTAATGAACTAATTATTATGGAATATTAATTTCACCATAATAATATTATTATTACACAAATTGTAAATATTAATTGTCACATATTACAAATAATATTCTCCTTGCACAATAAACTCATAGAAGACGAAGAAACGTTAGATCAAGCAGTTCAACAAGATTGGTCTCTGGTCTGGAACTTATTCGACGATCCTCATCAACTTTTGGCCACGCCTGGTAGCCTTCCAAAAGGAATGCAGGACATGGTGCGAAATGCAGTGTCCGAAATGAGAAGATATTACTCCAGAAAAGTTGTGGACGTTCTCATAAAGGTCACCAGAAGCTCGTTAGACGCCATTAGAAAACGATTTATTCGAGAAATCGATCCAGGTATTTCTCTCATTGGCTCTAACGTTAGTCTGACTAATATTTATGACATTTTGAGAATTTTGATTTCAATGAAATCTCACTGAAGAATTGAAATTTCATAAATTGAGATCAATAATTGCAAGAATGAAAATTATGAAATTGGACTTGTCAGACCCTAACAGACTAACCCAGGGTTAAATAAACCACGCATATTGCATGGGAAGGTTTGCAGATGGTTGAATGAATGAATTATGATCCTTCAAACAGAGGAGACACCGAATCCGATATTTCTACTGCATGCAACTTTGATGATACCAGTGGTCACTGTAAAACCTAGCTTGGACGACGTGCAGGAAGCTCTAACTTTAGTTGGTAAAACGATTGCTGGCGTTGCTAGAGGAGTTTCACAGTGGAATTCCAGGGTTAATAAGGTAAATATTAAAATTTTTAAGTTCGAAATTTCCACGATCGTAGAATTAAATAAAGCATTACTTTGAATTTTTAAATTAAATAATTTAAGAATTCTTGGGGTCAAGCATATCCAAGAAAAAATTTCGTAGAATTAAACGAAGATGTGCAATGTTAATTAAAATACTGAAATTGAATAATTGAAGAATTCTTGGGGCCAAGCGTACCTAAGAAGAAATTTCGTAGAATGAAATAAAGATGTGCAGTATTAATTAAAATACTGAAATTAAATAATTCAAGAATTCTTGGGGCCAAGCATATCCAAGAAGAAATTTCGCGGACATTGTAATGAGAGCTCAAAGGCAAGTTGCAAAGAAGAAGGAGGAGGAGCCAGAAGATCCAAGAATCAGAAGGCGTAAATTGTACAAAATCATCTCCGAAGAAAGACCAATTTTTCCGGTTCAAGAACAGAATTTTCACGCGATGGTGATGGACAACAAAGAAGTGATAAAACTGTTATCAATACTGAACACGTGTATGCAAGAATTCAAGCCGGTAATAAATATTATATCTTTATGAAAATTTGGAAGAATTCTCAATTCGATATAAAGGTTGTAATTTTTATTACAGGATCTGGCTGAATTCATCGACAGATGGAAGTCGTATAAATTTTTATGGAAGAACGAGAGAAATATGCGAGAATTGTTACAGATTTCCTTGCCAGAGTTTGAAGCCACTCTTCGGAAGCACAGTGAACTCGAAGATCTTCTGGCGACTGAACCTGACATGATTATCTTTGGAAGTTCCATTGCTGTCTCCACGGAAAAATTGAAATATGGCTTATACACGGAAATCAAAGGTGAAATTGTACTAAATTCAAATTTAACAATTTTCTTTCTTCCATTTACTTTTCAATTAAAACGAGCGAAAGATTCACGTTTAAGCGTTAATAACGGAACAATCAAACCTTCAAATTAAATTAAATACCGTCAAATCGTTTCTGGATCATTTGGATCGCCAAATTAAAAAAATAAATAATGAGCGAAATAGAAAATTAAAAAAAAACGTTTTCAATTAAAACTAGCGAAAGATTCACACTTAAGCGTTAACAATTAAACCTTCAAATTAAACAAAAATTCGTCAAATCATTCTTGGATCGTTTGGATCGCCAAATTAAAAAGGAAACAAAAACGAAATAGAAAATTTGAGAAAAAGAAAAACTTTCGCAGCATGCACCCACAAGATCGGCCAAGCAATGAAGAAGAAGTATCGCCGCGAGATGGAATACGTCTACGCGCTGATGAACGAAATGGAGCGCAAGCTGGATCGTCAGATACGAGATCTGGACGACGTACGATTGATCATGGACACTTTAAAGAAAATTCGAGAGCAAGAGGTCGACATGGAATTAAAGATCGACCCAATAGAGGAAGCTTTCAACATCGTCACGAGATACGAAGTTCCGGTGGACCAAGAATGCCTGGAACAGGTTGACAATTTGAGATACACCTGGCAGCAGTTACTTCTGCGAGCGCAAGAGAGTCACGTGTTACTGTTGAAGTTGCAACCTCAGTTCGAGGAAGACCTGAGAGACAATCTCGAGAGGTTCCGTGCCGATAACGAGATGTACTGCGAGGAATACAGATCTTCCGGACCGATGCAAGCTGGTCTGAGCCCGAGGGAAGCTTCGGACAGGCAGATTTTGTTTCAAAATAGATTCGACGGGATGTGGAGGAAATTGCAGACGTACCAGAGCGGCGAGGAATTGTTCGGCTTGCCTATCACGGATTATCCTGAACTGTCGCAGATCAGAAAGGAGCTGAACTTGCTTCAGAAGCTGTATAAATTGTACAATGACGTCATAGACAGGGTGAACAGCTATTACGACATTCCATGGGGTGAGGTAAGTGAGAAATTTCAAAAATCAAACTTTTCAATAGAATTTCCAAGGAACCTTTGAATTTGATAAAAATAGAACGTGAATGCCTTCTCATTTCACTTTTCCTGTTTTCTTTGGTAAGGCGATTAAGTCGCCGCTATAAAATTTCCTTGGATTTTCGTTAAAATATTTTTCACTTTCGACACGAAGTCATGGGATGACTGTGTAAATTAACCCTTTGACTGCTCTCCACTCAGAAGTAAAGTGGTCGCTCTGTAAGAAACAAGATTCACGAATTAATTTAAATAGAAATAGAACGCCTACAGGCGCCAATAGCTGTCAGAGGGTTGAAAAACAGAAAATTAAGATATCGACACAAAATTTAGGTGAACATCGAGGACATAAACAACGAGCTGATGGAGTTTCAAAACCGGTGCCGGAAGCTACCGAAGGGCCTGAAAGAATGGCCGGCGTTCTTCGCCCTGAAGAAGACCATCGACGACTTCAACGACATGTGTCCTCTTCTAGAATTAATGGCCAACAAGGCCATGAAGCCTCGCCACTGGCACAGGATCATCGAAGTGACCGGTTATCAGTTCGACCTCGAGAGCGAGGGATTCTGCTTGAAGAACATCCTGGAGGCGCCGTTGTTGAGGTGCAAAGAGGACATCGAGGACATCTGCATTTCAGCCATGAAGGAGAAGGACATCGAGGCGAAATTGAGAACCGTGGTGAACGAATGGTCCTCTCACGAGTTGACCTTCATGACGTTCAACAACAGAGGGGAATTGCTGCTGAGAGGAGACACAACCGCGGAGACAATTGGTCAACTGGAAGACAGCTTGATGGTGCTCGGTTCGTTGATGTCGAACAGGTACAACGCGCCGTTTCGAAAGCAGATACAACAGTGGCTCACGGATCTGTCGAACACCAACGAGATCCTGGAAAGATGGCTGCTGGTGCAGAATATGTGGGTTTACCTGGAAGCTGTGTTCGTTGGCGGAGATATAGCGAAACAGTTGCCGAAAGAGGCGAAGAGGTTCAGTAAGATCGACAAGAGCTGGCAGAAGATCATGCAGAGAGCTCACGAGACTCCGGGAGTTGTGCCTTGTTGCGTGGGAGACGATTTGCTGAAGCAACTCCTGCCACATCTGCAGGAGCAGCTGGAGCTGTGTCAGAAATCGCTCAGTGGGTGTGTATGTAGTTGATGTTGACGTTGAAATTGAATTTTCAGTGTTATTTTGAGGTATATCAGGTTATTTTGAGGTAAACAAAATTCTGCTACATGTGAGAATTTGGAAAATTTGTAATTTCGGTAGGAAGTATAGTGAATTTCTGAGCTACGTTCAATGGTGTGCACGTGTATGATTGCAGATACTTGGAAAAAAAGCGTATGATGTTTCCAAGGTTCTTCTTCGTGTCGGACCCCGCTTTGCTGGAGATACTCGGCCAAGCTTCCGATTCTCACACGATTCAGAACCATTTGCTGTCTATTTTTGATAATACGCGCTACGTGAAGTTTCACGACATCGAATATAACAAGATGACCGCCATTGTTTCGTCGGAAGGTGAAACTATCGTAGTACGTATTACACTAGCAAGTCAAATTTGTCTCTCCTTGTGAATCGCTTGTTTGCAATTATGTACAATGGTGCTTTCGACGTTCTGGTGTTATCTAAGTTCCTGAAAATTTAATACTTACAACGTCGTGATATGGAACCTTTTTATCCTGATTAAAAGTTGCACTAATAACGAAGAATAATATTAACGAATGTTTGCGATGAAATTACAGCTTGAGAAGGCTGTTAGAGCTGAAGGCTCAGTGGAAACATGGCTAACGCAACTTCTGCAAACCTCCCAACAGTCTTTGCACTCTGTAATTCGACAGTGCTACTCCATGATCAACGACGCAAACTTCAATTTCCTCGGTTTCTTGGACAAAATGCCAGCTCAAGTCGGTTTGCTAGGAATACAAATGATCTGGACCAGGGACAGCGAGCTAGCTTTGGCTCAAGCTCGTGCAGACAAAAAGATCATGGCAGAAACGAATAACAGGTTCCTAGATCTGTTGAATACTCTGATCGATCAGACTACCAGAGATCTAGCGAAAATCGAGAGAACGAAGTTTGAAACACTGATCACTATACACGTCCATCAACGTGACATCTTTGACATACTGGTAATTTCGTGAACAATGATAATTCGTATCCTCAGAAATAACACATTTCCATTTCATGAAATGAATTTTTCAAAAACAGAAAATAGCTACATCTTCATCTGGTAAGTAGGAATTTACGAAAGTAACATTTTACAGTGTCGCCTGAACGTACGATCGGTGAATGATTTCGAATGGCTGAAGCAATGCAGATTCTACTTCAAAGAAGACCACGACAGAACGTCGATCTGCATAACAGACGTAAATTTCACGTATCAAAATGAGTATCTGGGCTGCACAGAACGACTGGTAATTACTCCGTTAACAGACAGGTAATTACACAGAATCACGTAATTATTATTATTGAGGCTTTGAGATGTGAGATGTCCTAATATTCTTCATGGAATACTTTATGGAATATTCAGCCTCTGAAAGCCTCAATAATAATAATTATGCTTCAGTCCCTGAAACCCTTAAATCTTTGACTATAATACTTTATAGTCAAAGGAATACTATAATACTTTATGGAATATTCAGTCTCCGGAAGCCTCAATAACAATAACAATTAGGCTGTGAAAGCCTTAAATCTTTGACACGTAAATGATTCAATGTAGACAAAAATTTCTTTTCTCATTTCATACTTGTAACAGATGCTACATAACTCTGGCACAAGCATTATCGATGTCCATGGGTGGTTCACCCTGTGGTCCAGCTGGAACTGGTAAAACAGAAACTGTGAAGGACATGGGCAAAACATTGGCGAAATATGTGGTGGTGTTCAATTGTTCCGATCAAATGGACTACAGAGGATTGGGGCGAATTTACAAGGGTCTAGCACAAAGCGGTTCTTGGGGTTGCTTCGACGAATTCAACAGGATCGAGTTGCCAGTGTTATCAGTAGCTGCTCAGCAAGTCGCTGTTGTTCTTGCTGCGAAGAAGGAGAAGAAGAAGCAGTTCGTTTTCACCGATGGAGATCTGATAGACATGTGTCCTGAGCTTGGAATATTTATAACCATGGTGAAGAACATTGAGAGTTGAAAAACAAGGAAAATTGAAACAAGAATTAAAATTGTCATTGATTGAGCGAGAAGAAGAAAAAAGATTCTACATTCCTTTTCTATAATATAGACGCTTATTTACTGAAATTATTTTTAAGTTGTTACTTGGGAATTGTTACTGTAGTTTGAAAGATAATTATCATAGAAAGTTTTGCCTTTTCATCGTTAACTGTAAATTAATTCTTTTGGTTTTCCAAAACTAAGGTTTAGCTGTAAATCAATTTTTTTTTTATTTTATTTCCCAAGTGGAATCATTTCTTTTCTTACACATTCAATCAAACAAAAATATGCATCACAGAATCCTGGATACGCCGGCAGAAAAGAGCTTCCGGAGAACCTGAAGATCCAATTCCGCACCGTCGCCATGATGGTCCCCGACAGACAGATCATTATTCGCGTAAAATTAGCCAGCTGTGGTTTCTTAGAAAACATCACGCTTGCTCGAAAATTTTACACCCTGTACAAACTCTGCGAAGAACAACTCACGAAACAGGTAATTTATAAAAAAAAAAAAAAAAAAAAGGAAAGAAACACGTGAAACATAATTTCAGTAAGAGTTAACAACATTTCGATGATCTGTAAAAAGGTTCATTATGATTTCGGTCTGAGAAACATACTGTCCGTATTAAGAACGCTGGGGGCGTCGAAAAGGGTAAATTCGAAAGATTCTGAGAGCACGATCGTTATGCGAGTTCTGAGAGACATGAATCTTTCGAAACTGATAGGTAAATATTCGTATAAAAATATGAATAAAATTATTTGTTCATTTTTGAGTGTATTGATTGATTTCAGACGAGGACGAACCGTTGTTTATTTCTCTGGTGGCCGATCTATTCCCAAACCAGGCTCTCGAGAAAACTTCTTACCCCGAGTTGGAAGCAGCTATCAACCAACAAGTGGAAGAAGCAGGGTTGATATATCATCCACCGTGGGTGCTGAAATTAATACAGCTGTACGAAACGCAAAGAGTGAGACACGGAATAATGACGTTAGGTCCGACTGGTGCTGGAAAATCCACTTGTATCCACATTCTGATGAAAGCTCTAACTCAGTGCGGCAATTTTCACAGGTATGTAATTAGAGTGAAAAGTCCTAAAATATTTTACGTCACAATAAAAATAAACTTATTGATGATATTGATGAAATTTTGCTATATGGCAGTACTGAGAAAAAGATATTTCACAGGTACCTTCTTTTTTATTGCCAATCGTCCTCATTGAAGAAATTCCTCCGTGCATCTTTAGTTTTCGAGATATTAGACTAAACATATTTGCTACCTCCAACTTTCAAAGTGATTTTCAACCCTTCAAAGCGAACGATTAAAAAGGAAAAAAAATTAAAAAATAAGAAGATAGACTTCCTCGACAATTCAAACTTGATTAAGACTTGTTTCACAGAGAGATGAGAATGAATCCGAAGAGCATAACTGCTGCCCAAATGTTCGGTCGACTAGACGTCGCGACCAACGATTGGACAGATGGGATATTTTCAGCTCTGTGGCGTAAAACCTTGAAACTGAAAGATGGAGAACACGTGTGGATGGTTCTCGATGGACCTGTCGACAGTATCTGGATCGAGAACTTGAATTCCGTATTAGACGACAATAAAACACTGACTTTAGCGAACGGTGATAGATTATCGATGGCTCCAACCTGCAAGATCATCTTCGAGCCTCATAATATCGACAACGCGAGTCCAGCCACGGTGTCCCGTAACGGAATGGTGTACATGAGTTCGTCGGGACTGGATTGGAATCCTGTGGTGACTGCTTGGCTGAAAAGTCGAACACCTTTGGAGCAGGAAGTGTTTGGACAGTGTTTCGCGGATTCTTTTGCACAGGTTAGAGAAAAACTATTGGGTACCGGAAAAGATCTTTCACACGTTCGCTGCCACGTTGGTGTTTGAATCTCCTGAGTCAACGTCAACGTGTTAAAATATATCTTAAAATGATAAGATCTTAAAAATATCGTTCTTCTATCAACGATAAACTCGAACCGAATTTCTCCATTTGCCCATGAATCGTGCGGTGCTCAGGAGTTTGCCCCCGGAGCAGTACATGGGCAAGAAGGGCACTTTGCCCGCGCCGCCTAAATTTTACGCAATTTTAAATACTCCGTTTCGTATTTTTACGATTGTGTTAAAGAACGTGAGCTTATGGAGATATGACCTAATCACACCCCCATTCATTCCAGGGCCAAACTCCTGAGCTCCACGCGCTACTTTCTTCTCTCTACTCAAGCATTCGATAATTTTTTCAAAAGAATGTATTTTTCAAAAAATAAGTTAAATCCTTAACATTCTTCCTTGAAATGAAATTGCTTGCAGAAATAACTAACATTGTGAACAACTAGGAGGTGTCACTTCCGTCTCAGAGAGTACCAATTAAAATGTTAAAAAAATTCCAAAAACGATTTAACGCTTTCCTACAGTACCGCTCGAACGTTTTTACAGATCTATACATGGAGCACTCAAGCTTTATCACTGACCATAGACGTCCTACAGTGCAACATAGTGCGACAGATGTTATGCCTTCTCGAGGGACTAGTTCCGCTGGAAACGTCCATAGAAGAAGTGGAAGACGAAGAAACAGAGGAGGAAAAACGACAACCGATGACAGCTGACCACCTAAAGCGTTTCTACGTGTTCACTCTGATATGGGGTATAGGAGCGCTGTTGGAAACGTCGGATAGGCTGAAGTACGACTCGCACATGCGTGAAAATTTCGAAAATTTAGATTTACCGAGCTCAGACAGGTACCCTGACGCGAAGCTCTTCGATTTCTACGTAACCGAGAAGGGTACATGGGACACGTGGACGAGTATAGTGACCAATTACGTTTATCCAGAATACTCAACACCGGACTACAGCAACGTATTGGTCCCAATTCCCGACAACGTCAGGGTACAGTACTTAATCGACCTGATCGGTCGACAGGACAAAGCAGTTCTGCTGATAGGCGAACAAGGCTCGGCCAAAACGGTCATGATGAAGTCGTACATGAAGAAATCGAATCCAGAGACAACGTTGAGTCGCTCGTTCAACTTCAGCTCGGCCACCAGTCCCTATCAGTTCCAGAAAACTATCGAGAGCTACGTGGAGAAACGATTGGGCAGCACCTTCGGTCCGCCAGGTGGGAAGAAGATGTTGGTCTTCATCGACGACGTGAACTTGCCGCAGATAAACGAATGGGGCGACCAAGTGACCAACGAAATCGTTCGACAAACAATGGACATGAAGGGATTCTACTCCCTGGAGAAACCTGGAGACTTCACCAGCATTGTAGACGTGACTTTTCTCGCAGCGATGTGTCAACCTGGAGGAGGAAGAAACGACATTCCCTCGAGATTGAAGAGGCAGTTCTGTATCTTCAATTGCACCTTGCCTGACGACGCGTCCATCGATCGTATCTTCAGCGTGCTCGGAGAAGGTCATTACAATATTAAGAGAGGATTCTCGGTGGAAGTTAGAAATCTCGTGAAAAAGATGGTTCCACTGACGAGAATACTCTGGGAGAGGACTAGAAGTCATTTGTTACCCACACCGGCTAAGTTCCATTACGTGTTCAGCCTTCGAGATTTGTCGAGGATTTGGCAAGGCATGGTTGGCACACTCTCCACGGTCATTGATAAGGAAAGTGTCTTGATGTTGCTCTGGAAACACGAATGCAGTCGTATATTCAGCGACAGGTTTACAATTAAAGCTGACAAGGATTGGTTCGAGAAGGAAGTGGTGACAGTTGTGAACGACAGGCTGGGAGAAAATTACGTGAGCATGCTGGACCAGAATCCTGCATTTGTGGATTTCATGAGGCAAGTGAATGAAGTGTACACTTATGAAGAATGAACTGTACGACTTAAAAGCTGTGCAAACATCACAATGAGCCAAATTGCGATCGTTAAATAATCTACAATACCTAAGTACAGGCACTTTTTCTACTTAAATGACACACTTCTACAATGACACTAAAGGGCGAGACATTAAAAATCACACAAATGATTCATAAAAAAAACATACACGCGCATAGCAATAATTACAAAAAGTCAGGACCAAAGGGGAAGACCAGGGGATCCAACAAAGGGTGTCATTAGAGTCGTATGTCATTTTCGAATTGATATTTAAATTTTTTGCAAATTAACCTGCAGCTGTTAAGGATTAAGACGTATATAAATTTTAATATATATAAAATGGGAGAAGTAATTCCAAGTTGCAATTGAATGGCCTTCAATGAATCTTCAGCTCTTGATCTTCCTAAAACTGCTACTTGAATGCACGAATTATCTGTGCTTTGACGACTGACCGATTTTACGTCCACGCTATACTAATTCCATCAACTGTACATTGTCATAATTGTGCAATACAACGATGCTTTTACTACAATTTCCAGAGATGCTCCCGAGCCAACCGGCGAAGAAGGCGAGGACGCGGACGTAGAGTTGCCAAAAGTGTACGAACCAGTTTTTGACGACCAAATCCTAAGAGACAGGCTAGAAATGTTCCTCTCGCAATTCAACGAAATGCAACGAGGCTCCGGCATGGACTTGGTCTTCTTCCCCGACGCCATGCTACATTTAGTCAAGATATCCAGAGTGATCAGACATCCAAAGGGAAACGTGATGCTGGTAGGCGTTGGAGGATCGGGCAAGCAAAGTCTCACGAAGCTCTCGTCCTTCATCGCGGGCTACAAGACCTTCCAGATCACTCTGACGCGATCTTACAACGTTGCGAATTTCTTGGAGGATCTGAGATATCTGTACCGAACGTGCGGAGCTCAAGGAAAAGGCACCACGTTCATATTCACCGACTTGGACATCAAAGAGGAAGGTTTCTTGGAGTACTTGAACAACATTCTCAGCTCAGGCGTGATCAGTAATCTGTTCACTCGCGACGAGCAGCAGGAGATCATCTTGGAATTAACACCGATTCTGAGACGCGAGAATCCGAAACGATCCATCAACAACGAGCTGGTGATGGATTTCTTCCTTCAGAGGACCTGTCAGAATCTCCACGTCGTCTTCTGCTTCTCTCCCGTCGGAGAGAAGTTCCGAAATCGCGCGCAACGTTTCCCAGCCCTGATATCCGGTTGCACCATCGACTGGTTCCAGCCGTGGCCCAAGGACGCCTTAATTCTCGTCGCGAAACACTTCCTGCACGACTTCAACATCGCCTGCACCGACGAGGTTAAGGCTGAACTGGTGAACGCTTTGGGCTCCATACAGGACATCGTTTCCGTCACATCCGCGGAGTACTTTCAGAGATTCCGTCGCGCAACTCACGTCACGCCGAAGTCGTACTTAAACTTCATCGGTGGCTACAAGAACATCTACCAGAACAAGCAGCACGAACTCGGAGAAGGAGCGAAGAGAATGGACACCGGTTTAGCTAAACTAGAGGAAGCCTCGATATCGGTGGAAATACTGAAAAGGGATCTCGCTGTGATGGAGCAAGAGCTGGTTCAAGCTTCCGAGAAAGCAGAGACCGTCCTCCTGGAAGTGACTGAAAGAGCGATGCAGGCGGAAGCGTTCAAGAATCAAGTCCAAAAGGTGAAGGAGAAAGCTGAACAATTGGTTGCTTATATCGCTGAGGAGAAAGCGTTGGCCGAGCAAAAGCTAGAGGCTGCTAAGCCGGCGTTGGAAGAAGCGGAAGCTGCGTTGAACACCATCAAACCTGCTCACATAGCTACCGTCAGAAAGTTAGGCAGACCGCCTCATCTCATCATGAGAATCATGGACTGCGTGTTGATCTTGTTCCAACGAAAAATCGGACCGGTTGTTCCAGACACGGCTGCGCCGTGCCCGAAGCCTTCTTGGGCGGAATCCTTGAAGTTGATGGCCAGTACGACGTTTCTCCTTCAGTTGCAAAACTACCCGAAGGACATAATCAACAACGAGATGGTCGAGTTACTGCAGCCTTACTTCAAGATGGAGGACTACAACATGGAGACTGCTAGGCGAGTTTGCGGCGACGTGGCAGGATTGTTATCCTGGACGAAGGCCATGGCTTTCTTCCATTCTGTAAACAAAGAGGTCCTTCCGCTGAAAGCTAACTTGGCGTTGCAGGAAGCAAGGTTGAAGGTGGCCATGGAGGATCTGGCGAATGCTGAGAGAGAATTGTCGGAAAGGGAGATGGCTCTGCAGGCGGTGAAGGAACAATACGACTCTGCAGTCTCTGAGAAGCAACGGTTAACCGAAGCTGCGAACGTATGCCTTAGGAAGATGACTGCTGCGACTGCACTGATCAACGGACTTGGCGGTGAGAAGATACGTTGGACAGAACAGAGCAGTGAGTTCAAGGTTCAATTAGGTCGACTAGTTGGAGACGTTTTACTAGCTACGGGTTTCTTGTCCTATTGTGGGCCCTATAATCAGCAGTACAGAGCTAGTTTGGTGTCTTCTTGGATGAACATCTTAGCCACCAAGTGTATTCCTTTCACGAAGAATCTGAATATCACGAATATGCTCGTGGAGAGTGCAACGATGTCAGAGTGGACGCTTCAAGGACTGCCAAACGACGAATTGTCCGTACAGAATGCACTGATCGTGACTAAATCATCCTCCTATCCTCTGTTGATAGACCCTCAGAATCAGGGTAAAATGTGGATAAAGAACAAGGAGTGTATGAACGAGTTGCAGATCACTTCTTTGAATCACAAATACTTCAGGACTCATTTAGAGGATAGTCTCTCTCTGGGTAGACCATTGCTGATAGAAGACATAGCAGAAGAGCTGGATCCAGTGTTGGACAACGTGCTGGAGAAGAATTTCATCAAGTCTGGCTCCATCGAGAAGGTAATCGTCGGAGATAAGGAATGTGACGTGATGCCAGGTTTCATGTTATACGTCACCACGAAGTTACCAAACCCCGCCTACAGTCCAGAGATCTCAGCCAAAACTTCGATAATCGACTTCACCGTCACGATGCTGGGTCTGGAAGATCAGTTGCTGGGTAGAGTGATCCTCATGGAGAAAGCAGACTTGGAAGCTGAGAGAGTAGCTCTCTTCGAATCCGTGATGACGAATCAAAGATCGATGAAAGAGCTCGAAAGTACCCTACTGCATCGACTCACGTCTTCAGAAGGCTCGTTGGTAGACGACGAAGCGCTGATAAACGTGCTCAGGGAGACCAAAGTGACTGCAGAGTCTGTGAACGAGAAACTAAAGGTGTCAGCGTTGACGGAGAAAAAGATCACGCTGGCCAGAGAAGAATTCCGCGCAGTCGCGTCCAGAGGATCTATCTTGTACTTCCTGATCGTAGAGATGAGCAACGTGAACGTGATGTATCAAAATTCGTTGAGACAATTCTTGACGATATTCGACAATTCCATCACCAAGTCCACGAAAAGTCCCATCACAGCCGAACGAATAAACATAATCCTTCGTCATTTGACCTACGAAGTGTGGGCCTTCACTTTGAGGAGTCTGTACGAGCGACACAAGTCGTTGTTCACGCTGATGCTAGCGATGAAGATAGATTGTCATCGAGGTGCGATATCTCACGCGGAATTCAACGCTTTCATAAAGGGTGGCGCGTCCTTGGATCTGAACGCGGTTATCCCCAAACCTTTCAGATGGATCCTCGACATAACTTGGCTGAACCTGGTCGAGATAAACAAACTGGAGATCTTCTCGGACGTTCTCACGAAAATCGAGTTCAACGAGAGGGAATGGCGAGTGTGGTACGAGAGGGAGAAACCGGAGGAAGAAGAGCTTCCTTGTGGCTACCAGAAGAAACTCGACGTGTTCAGAAAGCTGCTTTTAATCAGATCGTGGAGCCCGGACAGAACTTTGTCACAGGCGAGAAATTACGTGATCGAATCGTTCTGAAGTTAGGACACCGCTCGTATGTATACTATCGATCGGATCGGATCCTAGCCCGCAGATAACAGCGTTGGCAAAACAGAAGTCTATTCGTAAGCATGCTCGATAAATGAAATTCACACAGAAGTGAGATATAAAAGTTAGAGATACAACTTCTGTTTCAGAATTAAAATCAGTGTCGATGGGTCAAGGACAAGAATTTCATGCACGACGATTGATCTCGGAAGCTATGAACACTGGGAGTTGGGTGTTGCTGCAGAATATCCACTTGTCGCTTTCTTTCTGCACGGAAGTCATGGATGCACTTGTCGAAACGGAGACTGTTCACGAGGCGTTTAGACTGTGGATGACCACGGAAGTGCATCCGCAATTTCCTATTGGCTTATTACAGGTTCTATCCTATGTTTGTTAAAAATCTTCGTTAACTCTTTGCGGTCGAACCACGGGATATTCCCAGAAAGACGTTTTTACCATTGAAACTCTCTGTGGACCCATTTGAATAAAATGTATACGTTTTTTGGGCAATAATTGAGTGAGCGCGCGCTACCAAAAAATAATTCAGACCAGCAAGATTACTGTGCCTACGGAAAATACGACTGCAAAGAGTTAAAATGTCCAACACGCTATTCTACAATATTCTATGAAAAAAACATGTACATATTTAAAAGGTGATAAGATTAGAAAGTGAAAAAAAAAATTAAGTATTAATAATAAATAAAGACTGCAGTAAAATCGAACTAACCCAGTCATAAGCGAGTGTTTCCTGAATTTTGCTGTCGTCCTGAACGCGTTAACTTCGTTCCAGATGGCTATTAAATTTACGAACGAACCACCGCAAGGTATCAGAGCGAGCTTGAAGAGGACCTACCAAGGCATCACTCAAGACACACTGGACTACAGTACACAATCTCAATGGCCACCTTTGCTGTACGCAGTTGCGTTTCTGCACACGGTGGTGCAAGAACGCAGGAAGTTCGGCCCTCTCGGTTGGAACATACCGTACGAGTTCAATCAGGCTGACTTCGCTGCTTCCGTTCAGTTCATACAGAACCATTTAGACGACATGGATCCGAAGAGAGGAGTCTCGTGGCCAACAGTCTGCTACATGCTTGGAGAGGTTCGAAAGATCTTAATTGCACAAACGTTAATAAAATTAGAATTATTTTCTGTCGACGTACAATCGACGTGGAAAAATCTCGCAAAATATTGTAGTATCGGGGCCTCCATACCCAAATAGGAAACCGATAAGGGAGAATAGAGGGGGAGTTCGTTGGCGTAGTGCGCAAAGCCTCGACTTGCTAAGCCCAAGGTTCCGGTTTCGATTCCCCGTTTGGGTCCATCAAATTTTTCCCGTCGATTCCTACAATATAAAAGTGTGAAAGAGAAAAAGGAGAGAAAAATTTGTCACGTCTAATTAATTCACAGGTTCAATACGGCGGTAGAGTGACCGATGACTTCGACAAACGATTACTGACCACGTTCACCCACGTCTGGTTCTGCGACGTGTTGTTACGGCCTGGCTTCGAATTTTACCGCGCGTACAAGGTACCGCAGACGAAGAATCTTCAAGGATACCTAGATTACATCGACAGTTTGCCAGCGACAGACACGCCGGAAGTATTCGGCTTGCATCCGAACGCGGACATCACGTATCAGATAAATACAGCGAAAGGGATACTGGACACGATTTTAAGCGTGCAACCGAAAGAAGGCGGTGCACAAGGTGGTGAGACCAGGGAGAATGTTGTGTACAAGCTTGCGAACGACATGCTGGCTAAACTACCCAAGCAATACAATTCTTTCGAGGTGAAAGAGGCGCTTCAACGAATGGGAGCGTTACTACCGATGAACATATTTTTAAGACAAGAAATCGACAGGTAGACCATTTACCTTTTCCGCGTCGTTTTGTCGTTCTTGTTTTAAGAATAATAAAAATCGACTATCGGTGGACTAACGTTTGAATCAGGATCACGAGGGTGATCAAAGAAGTGCGCAGTACCTTGATAGATTTGAAATTAGCCATCGAAGGTACCATCGTGATGAGTCAAGGTCTGCGAAAATCACTGGATGCGATGTACGATGCTCGTATCCCGGAGAAATGGCTGAAATTGTCTTGGGAATCGGCGACCCTTGGATTTTGGTACACAGAACTTCTGGAGAGGGACCATCAGTTCAGACAGTGGTGCGCTCACGGCAGGCCTAAAGTCTTCTGGATGACCGGCTTCTTCAATCCTCAAGGATTTCTAACCGCGATGCGACAAGTTAATTAGACATTTCACTTAACATGGTTTTCTTTTTCTTTCGTTGATGAAAAAAGCTGCTTTGTATTTACGGGTGTAGTTTGATGAAAATGGAACTGGACACGAAATTTGGTGGGAAGGGAGAGGAGGGTGGGTGGACCCGAAATATAAAATATTAGCTGCAGCCAATCGTTAGTTTTCTAGATATTAACAAAAACCTTTCGGTAACTATAGATTGAAACTGTATATACAGACGTGACTAACACATTGATGCAGATGGTACTAATTACAACCGTTTTCGCTGTGTGGTCGTTGCCTTCAAGTGCTGTAATACTGAAAGTTTTTTGTTAATATCTCGGAAACTAATGATTGGCCGAAGGTAATATTTTATATTTGAGATCCACCCACCTTCCTCTCTCTCTCTCTCTCTCTTCCGACGAAATTTCGTGTCGATCGGTGACCGAGACCTTTCGGAACCTTTCGGAGTATTTACCAATTTAAAAGAAGATGTATTTTCTTTGAAATGTACAATTTGCATTAATCCGCAGGAGGTGACTCGAGCACATAAAGGATGGGCACTTGACTCCGTCGTGCTGCAAAATTTGATCACACGTTTTAACAAGGAGGATATAAAGAATCAGCCTCAGGAAGGAGTTTACGTTCATGGTCTGTTCTTGGAAGGTGCCTCGCTTGATCGCAAAACGAGTAAACTGGTAGAAAGCAAGCCGAAAGTTCTGTACGAACAGATGCCTGTGATTTATATTTATGCGATAAACACAACTGCAGGAAAAGATCCGAAGCTTTATGAATGTCCTATATATAGAAAACCGCAAAGAACAGATTCAAAGTACATCGGTTCGATAGATTTCGAGACTGACCATAATCCTCGACATTGGACATTGCGAGGTGTAGCGCTTTTGTGTGACATAAAATAAAGAGACACGTCTCACAAACGGCATTATTTTGTCTTTATTCTCTTTGCTACTACAATACCATTTCATTTTCACATAATGAACGTAACTAATTTTTATGTAGCATTACCAAACGACACACTAGATAATATAATTAAAGAAATTTATATGACCAACGATTTCTAAAACTATTGGAATCACTACAAGCATTCAGCATGACTTGCTTCTGCTTCAAATTAGAAGATAAACAATTGAAATTCTAAACGTCTGCTTATATATATTTTATTAAATTTGTATCGCCATCTAAACGTTCGCAATAAAAGCGTTTGTTTACTTTACACAATGCAGTAAAATACAAAAATCTTTTCGTTACTATATTTATCTTTGGAAGCTGTTTCTTTATTTTTCTATTACAATTTTTTTAAGTAAATGTTTACCACTAACATTATAAAGATATTGTTGACACAGTGTCATGTTGATATCGTGTGACAAATAAATAAAGAACTATTGTTAGTTACTAGTATTATACTCTCATATAAAATAATATATTATTGGATTCAAAATAGAAGTATTTAAATAAT